ATAACGGAAGAGATGGAAAATGAATTCCGGGATTCTTACGATGGGACCGATACGCAATAATTGAGAGTGTGAGATCGGCAATATCAGTACTAGCGTTGGCATCCACTGATGCACCTTGTACTTGCTTGAAAATATAACCCCCAAATTACACATAGGTTTCATGAAGAATGATCCGAAGCATTACCTTAACTTCATCCTTAAGTATAAGGTATAATGTTATCTGTGAATTTGTTAACATACCAATATTGAGTTTTACTTAGCCCAAAGTATTCTTTTCCCGCACTGGTGAAGCAGAGGTCAATGAAATAGAATAGATTATCAATGATGTCAGAATGCGATAAACTAATGAAAAGGCTACTGAATTAGTCAATAGGTAAATGTTGGATCGTACTACGTAGTGTGACGAGCTTTTGCACCACAGTGAATTGGTAATGCTGAAGTAAACGGAGCGTCCATTGCGCATAGCCGTTTGCGTACAGTGATTACGAAAGTGAGTTTTGAATTAATATGCGGTGCAGAGTAGTCGACAAAAAAAAGTGGAAAGCTAAAATTTTGGTACAGTTTTCCATGCCCACGCGCGACTCTGCAAACCTACATTCAGCCTTCACGTACCCCCGGATACCATGTACGACTCCGCAAAAGTTTTAGCGGGGTGGATTATTATCCCAGGAGCCACGAAAGCTAGGGGCTGAAATTTTACGGTAATGCCACCTGCGAATGTGCAACACTGCAAATTTACATTTAAGCTTTTCCGTTCCCCTGGATACCACGTGCGGTATTGTGAAGGTTTTGACGGGAAAAATCATTATCTCGGGAGAAGAACAGCTGGGGTACTGAAAACTTCAGGAGAATGTTTACTGCTTATGTAGGAGTCAAATAAACTCAAGCTTAGCTCTCAAGTATGACGAGAGATCACGTACGATCACGTGGAAGTTCTGGCGCTGAAGTTACTCAAAAGTCAGAGAACTAAGAGGTTGAAATTTTCACCGTTCAAAGTTTCAAATTCAACTTCACGTACGTTTCACGCATTGGTCATGAAATTTTTAATAGAAAATTTTGCAGCATAGGAACCAAACAGCATATCGACTAGTTTTTCACAAACCAAAGTGAAAAACAGTGAAAATCCTTAGGAGGCAAACGCACTGCGGTCGAAACTGTGCAAAACGCATGATCATACCGACTACTCTGACGCGAAAAAGAACATCGCTATTAATTTAATTCTGGAACAGGCAAAGACACGAACTCGAGACTTTAAAGGCTTGAAGAACATACTGTGCCAGCTAAGCAGTTTGAAACGGCATTATTCTGAAATTTCGTAGTGATATTCTAATTTCAAAACAATGCAAATCGTGGATTTGAACTTTTTGAATTCTAGTTGGCATGACTGAACCAAAACCCTTATTATTACTTTATTTAAGATTAACCATCTAAATATGAGCCGAAATTATAACTGCAGAACGAGGAATCCATTTGTACGAAATTTTTGCGCCTCTCAAGTGCTGAATAGGGTTAAAAATTCTTTCTTTGTTACAGTCTTCTCTGTGTACTGAAGCATTCACCCGTTGAATAGTAGCACCAGTATACCACAAAAGTGCACACCTCCGCCAGCCTTCCGATACGCACACCTATTTGCTCTGAATGCAGCAAATTCAAATTCAATACCCATTCATTATCCATGACATGCGGAGACACCAACTACTTTAAAATTACTCCGAATGAAAGCACGTGCGAAGGCAATTACAAAAACTCAGCTCGGCTCAGCACAGCTCGACTCAGCCCGCCTCGGCTCGGCTAATGACTTATGGTGCTTTAACCTTCCCAGTGTCTGGCGGCTGGATCACATAGCCGGGAGGTGATGGGTTGGAGGATTGAAAGTGGTTTGGGGGGGGGGGGTGTTGGTTGGTAGTTGCCTAGATAGCGGAATAAAGT